CAAGAGAAAATTCCCAAAGTTTCTTTCTTTTTCTACATAGTATCAAAGACTTAGGGGTTTTTCTTTCTGCTCTCTTCTGTTGAATCTCTACTCTTTTAGTCATGGTTGAAACCACTGATGTGCCGAGCACTATTATTTCGACTGGAGCACTCGATGTTTCTCACCCTCACTACCTTCACCCCTCTGATTCTCCCGGAATGATGTTGGTTCATTCTCTTTTTGATGGCAAAGGATTTGCTGGTTGGAAAAGAGCTATTGTGATTGCTCTTTCTGCCAAAAACAAGTTAAGTTTCATTGATTCTTCTCCCATTGTGCCCCTTATCACATCACCTCAGCATTCTGCTTGGAGCAGATGCAACAACATGGTAATTTCTTGGATCATCAACTCTCTTTCACGGGACATAGCTGAATCTGTCTTGTATTATCCTACTGCAAAAGAAATCTGGAAGGAATTAGAGGCCAGATTTGGGCAGTGCAATGGAGCACAATTATATCAACTTCAAAAGGAACTCAATGATGCTGTACATGGGGCCAATGATATCGCAGGTTACTTCACCAAGGTGAAGAAGTTATGGGATGAACTCGACGCTCTTAATGTTTTTTATTGTTGTGTGTGTGCTTGTACCTGTGAAGGAAAGGCGAAAACTGCAAAATCCCATCAGAATGGTAGACTCATTCAATTTTTAATGGGTCTAAATGAGGCATACTCAGGTGTAAAGAGTAGTATTCTGATGATGGACCCTCTACCAAGTGTGGGTCAGGCTTACTCCTTGCTCATTCAGGATGAAAAACAGCGTGAAATGCATGTAGTCTCACACCCTACAGACGTTGCTTTCATGGCAAACTATCAGAAGTTCCAGAGAAGATTCACTCCTTAGAGATCTCCTCCAAATGTGGATGGACGGATCAATCCTAATTTCGACAAATCTAAGACAGGAAAATTTTGCACTCATTGTAAGCTTACTAATCATAAGGTTGCTAACTGTTACAGATTAATTGGTTTTCCCTCAAATTTCAAATTCACAAAGTCCAAGAGGAACCCAAGTTTTGGTACCACTGCTGCCCAGGTTGGAACTTCACAACTACCTGATGGTATGTCCTCTAGACAATACTTCTCTCCTGAGCAATCTTCACATCTATTCCAGCTGATGCAAGATGCCAAGCCTAGCCAACAAAATGAGCAACAATCAGATGTCAATGTCTTAGCCAATTGTGCTGGTATAGTCAAACCCCTTCTCGATCCTACTACGTTTTCTTTATTCACTCATCTTGATTCACATTCATGGATTCTTGATTCAGGTGCTTCCGAGCACATGACTTATGAGTCTTCACTCCTTTTCAATCTCACTTCCTTACCCTCTCCTATATATGTTTGTTTGCCTAATTCCCATCGATTGAAAGTAACTCACAAGGGCAGTGTTTCTTTACTTCATGATCTGGTTCTTCATAATGTACTTTATGTGCCTGATTTCAAGTTTAATTTATTATCCGTTCATAAATTCACTACTCAACTAACCAGTATCTTGATTTTCTCTTCCTTTTGTGCTATATTGCAGGCCCCTTCTATGAAGAGGCTAGTGGTTCTTGGTGAAGTCCATGGTGGGCTTTATCTTCTCAACTCAACTCCACTCTAGTCTAGCCATGTTTCCTCTTCCCCTACTTCTCCTCAGGAGGATCACTTGGTTGCTAATACTCCTTGTAATGAGTCTGTTTTAGTAGCTGATTCTAGTTCTATTTCAATTCCTTCAAAGCTTTTAGCTAATGATGTAAGCCTCTGGCACAATAAACTGGGGCATTTGCCCATATCTAATATGAAAAATCTTTCTATTTTTCACTCTGTTTGTATTCCTGATTCTATTGTTCCTTGTGATATTTGTTGCAAATCTCGACAAGCTAAATTGCCTTTTCAACCTTCCATCATTTCCTCTAAGTCCATTTTTAATCTTATACACGTGGACACTTGGGGACCTATAAGGTTTCAACTCACAATGGTTATCGTTATTTTTTAACTATTGTTGATGATTACAGCCGAGCCACTTGGACCTATCTTCTTAAAACCAAAAGCAATGCTTTCACCATTATAAAATACTTCATCGCCTTAGTGGAAAAACAGTTTAATAGTTCTGTCAAAGTTATCAGGTCTGACAATGCTAAAGAACTTGGTTCAAGTGTGGCGAATTCTGATTTTCTTTCTTCTAAAGGTATTCTTCGTCAAACCACTTGTGTTGGTACTCCACAACAAAATGGTGTGGTTGAACGAAAGCTAAACACCTTCTTGAAACCTGTCGTGCTCTTTTATTTCAGTCTCATTTACCTTCTATCTATTGGGGGGAGTGTCTTCTTACAACTACTTATTTGATCAATAGGTTTCCATCTAGGGTTCTTGATTCACACACACCTTATGAATTGCTCTTTGGGACAGTCCCTTCTTATGAATCATTACGAGCTTTTGGTTGTCTTTGTTATTCCATAACTTTGTCTCAATCTCGTTCCAAACTTGATGCGAGGGCTGTTAAATATGTTTTCATTGGGTATCCTTTCAATCAAAAAGGATATAAGCTGCTTAATCTAGAGTCCAACCACATTTTTGTCTCTAGGAATGTCAAATTCTATGAAAATATCTTTCCTCTCTCTGCTTCCGATACCTCACTCACTCCTTCTCCCCTTCTTCCACCCATCCCTGATTTACTTGATTTCCCTGATGTGTCTACTTCGCCCATTTCTGTGCCTTCCTCTCCTTCCCCTTCTCCTGTTCCTACTCCTATCACAGATCCTCCTACTCCTCCTGTATCTCCACCTCGAAGATCCTCCAGAATTTCTCATCCTCCTAGCTACTTAGCAGATTATTTTTGCAATTCTGTTTACTACACTGACCTTCACTCTTCTTGTTTCTCTGCTATTCCTGCACCTCCTTCTCTCCATTTTCCTGCCCTTTCTGCCTCCAATAGGTCTCTCCTCTCTTCCACCTCTCCCATTTTTGAACCTACTTCATATTCTCAAGCATGCCATCACCCTTGTTGGCAAGAGGCTATGGCTGCTGATTTTGCTGCTCTTGAGGCTAACCAAACTTGGCAAGTTGTTGAACTTCCTAATGGTCACAAAGCTCTCCCGTGTAAATGGGTCTACAAGGTTAAGTACCTTGCTAATGGTAGTGTCGATCGATTTAAAGCTCGCCTGGTTGTTCGTGGGGATGTTCAAAGAGAGGGGATTGACTATACCGAGACCTTTTCACCTGTGGTCAAGATGACCACTATTCGCTGTTTGTTGGCAGTTGCTGTCAAGAAGGATTGGAAAAATTTTCAGCTCGATGTTAATAACGCCTTTCTACATGGTGAATTGCAAGAGGAAGTCTATATGCGATTTCCACCTGGTTTGCCCCCGCCGAGTCCTACTCATGTTTGCAAGCTCACCAAATCCTTATATGGGCTCAAGCAAGCCTCCCATCAGTGGTATACCCGTCTTATAGCAGCTCTCACTTTCAAAGGGTACTTTTGTTCATTAAATGACTATTCTCTATTTTACAAGACATCTGTTTCTGGAGTTTGTGTTCTTGCTGTCTATGTCGACGACATCCTCCTAACAGGGGATGACCTCAATGAAATTTCTCTCATCAAGCAATTTCTTTATTCAGAGTTTAAGATTAAGGATTTGGGTACTGCACATTTCTTTCTAGGCATGGAGTTGCTCCGTGAGCCTCAGGGTCTCATTCTTACACAGCGGAAATTCACTTTGGATTTGTTATCCGAGTTTGATTGCTTGGATAAACGCCCTGCAGCATCTCCTCTTGAACCATCCTCCAAACTTCATGCTGATGTAGGTGATCTTCTCCCGGATCCTTCTGTTTATCGTCACCTCATCGGTAAGCTCAACTATTTGACTCACACCCGACCTGACTTAGCTTTTGATGTTCAACACTTGAGTCAGTACATGCAGACTCCCCGTGTTCCTCATTTTGCAGCTGCAACTCATTGCCTGCGTTATCTTCTATCCACCACTGGTATTGGTCTCTTTTTCTCCTCCGATCCCTCTTTCAAGTTGCTTGCTTTTTGCGATTCCGATTGGGGTTCTTGTTCGGAAACTCGTCGCTCTATTAGTGGCTATTTTGTGAGTTTGGGAGGCTCACCGATCTCGTGAAAATCGAAGAAACAACCTATTGTATCTCTCTCTTCCGCTGAGGCGGAGTATCGATCTATGAGTCGTGTGGTTGCGGAAATCACCTGGCTGGTGCGTTTGCTTTCAGACCTCACTGTTTCTCCTACCCTTCTTGTACCTCTTCACTCTGACAGTCAGGCTGCTATTCACATTGCTAAAAACCCGGTTTTTCATGAACGTACCAAGCATGTGGAACTCGATTGTCATTTCGTTCGTCAACAGTTCCTCTCTGGGCTCATTTCTCTGATTTTTGTCCCTTCTGCCTCTCAGCTTGCCGACGTTTTCACCAAGTCTCTTCCTGGTCATCATCATCGCCACCTCACCTGCAAGTTAGGAGTGGTCTCACACCCCTCTAACTTGAGGGGATGTGTTGACACTGGTCATCATTCTCAATCTGAGAAACTCAATTTTACATAACAAAGGCCTCAGATTCATGTTAAAGAGAAAGACTAATCATGCAGTCTTGGGCCGTCTATGGGCTTCTACTTATAGAAGAGTGATGGGCCAAATATTTTTCTCCCTCATAGAAAGACTGTGGATTCAACTCTTCTGGCTTT